CCTCCTCCTTTTCTCCCCCGCCTGTTCTTCCTGAACAGTTTATACCCTTCCATGACTGTGCTCCAGTCATGCGAGTCATCCCACCAAGTCGCCGTTATTCTGATCAAATCATAGTTCTTTCACTGCTCCAGGACTTCTAATGCTTCCTGCTTGTTTCCCAGACTTCTTGCGTTCAGGGTTTAGATAATTAGCTGATTGCCCTACATTCTCCGTTTGAATCAGAGGTCCTCTCCTGTTGCACCTTCCTCTTTGTGTTTCTTCCCAGTATCCCACTTCCCTATTTACCTCAGAGCTTAGGTCACCATCCCCTGACAAACCTAGTTTAAAGACCGGCCTTCCCTCAAACAGTGGTGGAATCTTCAGGGCCCAACGTTCCACTCCACAGCGTCTTCCCACCACAGCCACCCTTCTCTCCAACTGCCGCGGAACCTTCAGGGCCCAACGTTCCGCTCCACAGTGCCTTCCCATCCCCGCTGGCCTTCCCTCCAACTGCCGCAGAACCTTCAGGGCCCAACGTTCCGCTCCACAGTGCCTTCCCACCCCCGCTGGCCTTCCCTCCAACTGCCGCAGAACCTTCAGGGCCCAACGTTCCGCTCCACGGCGCCTTCCCACCCCCGCCGGCCTTCCCTCCAACTGCCGCGGAACCTTCAGGGCCCAACGTTCTGCTCCACGGCGCCTTCCCACCCTCGCCGGCCTTCCCTCCTACTGCCGCGGAACCTTCAGAGCTCAACATTCCGCTCCACGGCGCCTTCCCACCCCCGCCGGCCTTCCCTCCAACTGCTGCGGAACCTTCAGAGCTCAACATTCCGCTCCACGGCGCCTTCCCACCCCCGCCGGCCTTCCCTCCAACTGCTGCGGAACCTTCAGAGCTCAACATTCCGCTCCACGGCGCCTTCCCACCCCCGCCGGCCTTCCCTCCAACTGCTGCGGAACCTTCAGAGCTCAACATTCCGCTCCACGGCGCCTTCCCACCCCCGCCGGCCTTCTCTCCAACTGCCGCGGAACCTTCAGAGCTCAACGTTCCGCTCCACGGCGCCTTCCCACCCCCGCGGGCCTTCTCTCCAACTGCCGCAGAACCTTCAGGGCCCAACGTTCTGCTCCACAGTGCCTTCCCACCCCCGCTGGCCTTCCCTCCAACTGCCGCAGAACCTTCAGGGCCCAACGTTCCGCTCCACGGCGCCTTCCCACCCCCGCGGGCCTTCTCTCCAACTGCCGCAGAACCTTCAGGGCCCAACGTTCCGCTCCACGGCGCCTTCCCACCCCCGCGGGCCTTCTCTCCAACTGCCGCAGAACCTTCAGGGCCCAACGTTCCGCTCCACGGCGCCTTCCCACCCTCGCCAGCCTTCTCTCCAACTGCCGCGGAACCTTCAGGGCCCAACGTTCCGCTCCACGGCGCCTTCCCACCCTCGCCAGCCTTCTCTCCAACTGCCGCGGAACCTTCAGGGCCCAACGTTCCGCTCCACCGCGCCTTCCC